ATATAATTATAGTAAACGTTTTTGTAGTTTTCATTTAAAATTAGTGGGTTATTTCTACTGCAAATTCGCGAAGGGGTTGGACATAGGAACTAGTGCACTGTGATTATAGTCTATAACTGCAATTCAAAAGTGCTTTTTTCCTGGCCTGAGAATAATCTTGATACAATTGCTTTAAAATCAGGTTTACAACCATTCTAGATTGCCAACCCACCCTAAGGTATGAAATGACTATCTGATGATAGGTAAATTTTCTTATTATTCTTACATACCTACATACACGCAATGAAATTATTCACGCCATTTTTTATATATATAGGTTGTTGAAGATTTCAAAACTAGTATTTTAGCCCATGATACCCGTGGAGGTGAAGTAGGGTCGATGTCCGGCGATTTTAAAAATTTTTACGGATTTTATTGCTTCACATCCTGCCATAACCTGAGTAATTAATAGAAAGATGGTACTACTATTATTATTTTTATGCTTGTTTTGCTATCAATCCTATCGAGAGATGAGCATTGACCATGCAAAAGACACCGACTCAGTATTATTTAACTGCCGAAATTAAGAACCGATTTCGACTCAAATCGATTTTCCATCTCGATTTTTTACATTCGTTGTTTGGAGTTTCTGTTAAAACCTAAATCGATTTGGCGTTTTTCGATTGAGATCGGTTATTAATTTTGAGCATTACATTTGCCCAGCCTTGAATATGTTTTTTCACAGTCAAAGTCAAAGCATTCATTTCAATTAAATCTTTTTTTTTCTTTGGCAAAATTAAATCCTAATTTATAGGCACTTTTGAAACGTCAAAAATTGAACTGTCCGTACGTCTGTCTGTCAGTATAATGCTAGGCGTTGGCTCGTTCCATTCGTTCCCTTTTTTAAAGTAATGCGAACGAATGCATTAAATGTAATTTGAAATATTACAATAATTAAAGCGCACATTCTCCGAATTGAGATCAAATGTCAGTATGACACATAACTCCAAGGGTCAATCAATTTGCCCAAGTTTTGTTTAAAAGTACATTGACATTACGATTATATCGTAATTCGTAGGCACAAGTAATCAATATGTTTTAATGATAAACAATAATACACATACATATTCAGTTGGTTACTCATACTTATTGCGTTGTGATTTAAAATCTTGTTCAATATCGGTATTTCTCTGAGTAGGATCTAGTAAGACCTAAATACATTAGAAAATCGAATAGTCTAAATCTTTCAAGGTCGAACACACCATTTTTATAAGAACACACCTCTCGAACGGCTGCTTCAAATTAGATGAGTTTGTTTATAGTACCTAAAATTTTAATGTTGCTAAATGCGCTGAGAACACCCTTTAATAGAAAATGCACGAAACATTGAACGAATAGATTAAAAGTAAATATTAAATAATAACATAACATAACATCACGCCTTTTATCCCTAAAGGGGTAGGCAGAGGTGCACTTTATACCACTGTACAATGTAACACCCACTTTTCACTATTTATGTTATGAGTCCCATGTAATAGGGGGTGAGCCTATTGCCATATACCGGGTACAATTCCAGACTCCGTGCTACTACTGAGCACTATATTATTTAAATAATCTATATTATTATAATAAAAAAACGCTTTTTAGTTTTAATTTGACAGTGCTATTTTAAGCAATACAAAGTTCAATGTCCTATCCGACTTATCCCAGTCCAATTATTGGCACACACGTTTCCGTAAACCGGTTCAATTATTAAAGACCGGTTATCGGTTAGACTTGAAGATTACCTCTGTATTGATTTATTCCACAAAAGCTTTGTGAAAATATTTGGGAAAGTAATGTAAACCTAGTAGGATACCCACGGTAGTCGTTTCATTTAAATATAATACTGGTCTAGTCTACTGGAATTTGACCTGTCGTCAGAGACTGCACAGAGGCCTTAGTACGAGTTTGTTTTACGTTTAAAGTAATCGTAACGAGTACGCGTTCGGTGCTGTGATTGGTTGGTTTATTGGTGCCGGCCAATCAGAGTGCCGAACGCATACTCGGTTCGAATACTTTAAACGTAAATCAAACTCGTACTAAGGCCTCTGATCGACTTAACAACTCAGGTGTCTCATTAACGACGTATGTTAATAGTTCGCGGAGCGATTTGTCTTCAACACATATCCTACCGATAGTCAAAGAGTTACCCAGGATAAATAATGATGGGCCTTTTTGTCTGGTTAACCGGGAAAAGTGTCGGTCACTTCAGCCAACAATTCGCCCGTTTTTATACACTTTCTATCACTACGCGGTGTATAGCATCCATTACAGTTCTGCTATAGCACTTGTATGTATATTTATCTCAGTTCTGTTATCACATTACTATTGTAAAGTTAGTTTTGTGAAGATAAGAGAGTTAACGACCAGCCAGTTTTCATTACAATTCACACTAAATTGTCTTAACATGCTTGTTAAAACTGTCGTAATGAATGACGCAGATTATGACAATTAATTTTAAAAATATTCTGAATTTAGTTAACATGATTTTATTCTAGATAGAAGAAGCTGTATTCTAAATAATTCCCATTATGTATTTAGATATGTATTGTAGTATAAAACGATTAAAGATTGTTCTCAGTATCTTGGTTAGTACTAGGTAAATAATTTGCAAACCAGACAATGCACTGTCAAAACGGCTTGTTGGACGATTCGCACGAATTTAACTCGCACGAAACGTGCGAATCGATCGAAAACATATTATTTTTTCTGTAGTCAATTCGCACGAATTACATTTATTGGCGTGCGAATCGACACCCTCACTTCAACCATCACTGAAATAAAAATAAAAAATAATCGAAGTTTAAACAGCAGATATTTACTTGAAAGTGGTGTTACAGTCTGGAGGAGGAGGAGGAGGAATCGTACAATAAGCCGTCAAAACTACTAGTGTTTCAGTCACCAGCCACGGAAGAGTAGATTAATATTTTATTATTAATTGGTATAGAGGTTAAAATAATTCCTCTCTTGTCACCAGGATCGTGAAGTAGCTCGCCGCATCCATGTGGACTCCGACTTGCCGTTCTTTGAGGTTTTCATCGACACTCCTTTGGAAGTGTGCGAACAGAGAGACACCAAGGGTCTCTACAAGAAGGCTCGAGAAGGATCTATTAAGGTTGGTGGCTTCAGCATAATTTTAAAAGACCGGTGTAACTTGATATTTAGTTGTTGTAAGTGCAGGCACTACTACTAACATCTAACTAATAACAAAAAATAGAGAAACAATGTGACCTGTTAAAAAGGTTCAGCTCAGCAGCATGCAGTTGTTTCTAGTGCCTCGTGGCCGCGTAGCCGGCGCGACATTTTCTAAAAAGGTAAGGTAAAAATCGCGAGGAAATAAGATTTATTTTTATTAGGTCGCATTCTCTCGAGAAATTATTTCCGTATTATATTATGTCATTGTAATAAATAACAAAAATTATTATATTATATCTAATATAAAAGATTCATGCGTTAAATTCCACATCACAAATCGTATTTGTCTAACAAATGCATTTAATTCCACGTCAATAATAATTAAAACAAACTCACACATCATGTTGTGTTATTTACAAAGCAATCATACTTCCATTATGCAGTGAAAGTCATTGCAAATATTATGAACTCACTCGTTGTATTCGTTTATTATGTGTATTATAAATTTATTATTATAATTATTACTCAGTACTCATAAAATATGTTGCATTAGCTTTCTGCTTCATAAAGATGTGGTTGTTATAATACGAAATATATTATACTTAATAAGTTTACTATAGGAATATAATATACAACATGTAACGTAATTAACGCACACCCTCAAACACCCCAATTAGAATATTATGTTATAATCATAATACATACACTAAATTTACTATACTGGTCTTGTCATAAGGTTTATTTTTCTTTATTTTGTATTGACTGATAGAATTTGTATGAATACAAATAAAACTGCGATTTTAAAAGTCTTATTACTTTGACTTACGGTCCATTTCGATTTGTTTTAACAATTTCGATTTATTTTTGGGAAAAAAATTACCTATACTAAAAATTATATAAATCGATTCAGTTCACGATTCTGAATATATACTATAAGAATATAATTATGCCATTATTTTATTTAAATTTCTTTGGTCGATATTAATGTTGTCCATTCTTCTCTCACAGGGCTTCACCGGCATCACACAAGAGTATGAACGTCCCGAGGCCCCGGAACTCATCGTCCAGACAGTTGGGAACTCCATCGAGGAGTCCACTATGCATGTCATACGTCTGCTTGAATCACAGGTAAGATATTATTCACCATTACTTACTTCATTATAAGATACGACTGAACATAGGTAAGTCTGTATCAACAACTTCCAGACTATGTACCTATTTAGATTCTAGAAAATGTTCTGTTACAAAAGACTCGGAGTCAATAGCATACCGGGGATTTACATTTACTATTAGGGTGCGTCCACATATGGCGAATGGTCCGCGACCGCGTGCTGTGCGGCGTGCATTTAAAATTATTATTTATACGAATCTATATGAGTTGAGCACCAAACCATTGCCGTGACTGCACGCGCGCAGCTCGCGAGCGGCACTTTCGCCAGATGTGGACGCACCCTTAGGCATATATTTAATTATCTCTCTAATAGCACGCGACTTAGTCGGTTCTTCAGTTCTCACAAAGTGTAGGTATATTGTCTTTCTACCTAGCTAATGGGTAAGTAGGAGGGGGTGATGTACTTAATATACATTTGAGAGCAATGAAACGGAGTCATTGGCGTTTTTTTTTATTTTATCGAACCCCTTTTACAACATAATGCTCTCATTTTAAAAGGTAACTAAATTCCTTTTTATACGACATACGTTACCAATTAATGAATTATTTGTATCAGGAAATATTTAGGCTCCGTTGCTTTGATCCCAAGTGTATTTATTAAGATTTTTCTTCCAATCTTTCTGTTGTGTAACAGTACTTATTACCACAGATTATCGCGTAAACAATGTGCGTGTATGTTTGCGTTGGATCAGGAAACGATCTGCAGCATTCAGTCTGAAAAAACAAAAAATAAACTCGCCGATATGAGGAAAACTGTTGACATTTAAACTGTGGGATATTTTGTAACTGGATTGTATAAGCGCTCGGATTTTGTTTTTTTTTTTTGTATTTGCGGTAATTCAATCGAACAGCATCCTGTAATATAATGTTGTAAAGAGGTGATGATGCTCAAGAGAAATCTAAATTCCATACGGGCGAAGACGCAATATATAGAAAAGTAGTGTTAAATAATTAAATTATTCGTTTGACACCCTGAGTTTGCGTAGTTTAATACTGGATCAAAGCGGTTTAATACCTCAGTGTTAGACTAAAGTCCATATCTTGATAAATCAGGTACAAATAACTAGATTTTATCATAATTCCATTATCACTGCCCTTTTGCGTCATAATGCCTTTTACTAAACCTGAAACCCTAGTAATTTAGGTCGTGAAGCTTTACTCTTGAAGCTTAAAAAAACATTTAATTTGCCTAGGCCGCCGATGGAGATGATTGCCAATTAGCAGTAAGCATGGCTATGTCACCTGATCTGATCGTTACCAATTCATAAATTAATGCAAATACATATTTTATTCAAATTGCAGCAATTCCAGGATTTAAATCTCCACTCAAACAATCTCTTTGCCATAGTGATTTTAACAGTTAACCTTGAAATGAATACCTATTTCCTCCCTTTCCAGACCTTGGGAAACACAATATTAATTTGCTTTATTATACAAACAAAATTCCAAAGTAAAATAATTGGTTTTACAGTTGGTATTCCCTTCCCTTTGCCAAGGCTATCATAAAATGCATTGACATGACTATGCAATTACATATTTTAATGTAATAAAAATAAGAACTAAAATTAATTATGACTTCCTGCAGCTATTTTAAAATGAATTGCAATTCATTGAAGTTTTATTGTTCGCGGTAAATTAGTAATCTTTGTGTACATAAAATATTAATTGGAATGAAGTATTATTAGGTATATTGTTATTTAGTTTTGCCTATTTTTAACTTTATTAAATTTTTCTGTTTACGGTACCTAGGTACTAATTTATAATTATATACTTCTGGTTTTATTTTATTATTTTTATGGCAACAGAACAATTAATTATTCTTATACTCTTTGACCTAATATGAATAGCGTATATATTTGAAATGGGTTTCATCAAATAAACTACAGCCTTAACAGAGGTGTCTCATTAATTTGTACTTTCAACTAATATGAATATATTTATTTTGTTTTTATAATAAATATATCGTGGGACATGACAAAATATGTATTAACTAAAATCGCGGGTTACTCACGTGAATATTGATGATATTTATTTCGAAACTAGTAGAGCATTTCTCAGTATATTCACGTGAGTAAGCCGCAATTTTAGTTGATACATATTTTGTCAATTAATTTTCTTCTATCAATTCATGTATTCATTACGTATCCATAATAATAGTTGCAATTTTAATAATTTTTTTCACAGGGCATCATCCCCTGTTTCGAAGACAGTCGCAAGAGTGTGGAGGAGCTATTTATCTACGGCAACAGACTCACCAGTGCTATCGAAGAAGCTGCTAGACTGCCAAACATCGAACTTAATACACTCGACCTGCAGTGGGTACAGGTAAGGAACAAACTAATATGAATTATAAAGTTGAAGTTGTAAAGTGTATAGTTATAAAGTTGAAGTTTTATTATATGTTTGGACGCTCAAAGCTTGAAAAGTGCTAATTATATTTGCATAGCAAAAACTTTAATAAAACAGTTAAAGATTTATGTTTATATAGCAAAACTAGCGACCCAGCCCGGCTTCGCACGAGTGCAATATGCATGTATTATACATACAAACCTTCCTTAAGAATCACTCTTATCTATTAAAAAAACGCTTCAAAATCCGTTGCGTAGTTTTAAAGATAGCGAGACGCGGATAGCGACTTTGTTGTATACTATGTAGTGAAGTATATTTTCACTTTTTTAAACAAGAAAATGTGTGTTACGTGTATTGATCACGAAAACGATATATCATGTTGATTATTATATTTAAAAAATCTCAACATAGCATGACTTGAAGTTAGCTGTTAATCATTAAAAAAAACCTACTGTTTACCTAGCATTACAGGGCAAAAAGGGTAGTGTGTTGCCACGGGATGAAAACGAAATAAATTTCACGGTGTATAAGCCATTATTACCCCTTAGCCCCCTTATTCGATAAACCACGGGTTAATTAGTTGTTTTAATGCATTTTTTTTCACTAAAAGGTGATTGATGTTTATAAATGACGCTCTTTAGTCTGTGTTATAATGCATCAGTAATATAATAAAATGAATTTAATTTCTTTTTTCTTACGAGAACGTCCGTGTAACGTTATAGCATATTAAAAAAAAAGCAACATACCGGCCGAACGTATAACCTCCTCCTTTTTTGAAGTCGGTTAAAAATGAGAAACTTCAGGCCTTTCATTTTAGACGACTATAAGAACTAGTTATTAAATAAAACACTAGCCTCAATTTTGCATGTAGCATTGGAATGTATTCACTGAAAATCACATAAAAATCGTTCAGCACTTACTGAAATTATCGCGAACAGACCTGCATGCATGATGGGGGATCTTGTTTTATAGGTTTTTTTTTCAATGTTAATATTAATTCTCCACGGACTCTTACTCCGTGCCCTTGTCATAGAATTTGTTTTATAATATTTAACTGTTAAACCTTTGAAAATTTTTGAAAATCATCCCCTAAATTCGTTCATACAAAAGTAGTCTCTAAACATTGGAAATAAGGTCTATAATGTAATTAGTGGAGAGCGGTCACCGGTGACCGCTTGGGGATATACTTCGGGGATATATAATATGATATATGCCTAAGGTGATCTAGCATAAGTATTCCATTGCATTTTGATAAGATCTGAATGAGTGAATTAGCAGATCTTTAAGCTAATATAATGCATGTATTATTTAAGTAGCAAATATTACCGTAATATAAAATTTTCTTGTATTAAGGAAAAGATAAAATAATCACGTAGTAGTGAGATTAGTTGATATGAAAATGCTTTAGGTAACAATTTCCTCAGTAACACATTATTGTGCTTGTTCATAATGACTGCGCCCTTTTCAGGTGCTGTCTGAAGGATGGGCGTATCCACTGAAAGGTTTCATGAGGGAACATGAATATTTACAAGTAAGTTTTATTTATTATTATTCGGCATTTCTTTTCAGAGTAGTCAGTTAGGAAATGTCGGCCTCATCGTTCGCTTGATATAATTCGCTTGACGTGTAAAAGTGATGCCTTGTAGCCTATTTACAGAAATAAATTCACTTGTTTCACTTCTTTTGTTAACATGAGTATAGATTAAATTTGACCGAGTGGTCGTAAGTGCGATTGCCGGGCAAGGGGTCTCGGGTTCGATTCCCGAGTCGGGCAAAGTATTACTAGTTTTTAAAAATCTCAGTAGTAGCACGGAGTCTGGAAATGTGCCCGGTATATGGCAATAGGCTCACCCCTTAATCATGGGACTCATAACATAAATATTGAAAAGTGGGTGTTACATTGTACAGTGGCATTAAGTACCGTAATGTTCACCTCTGACTATCCCTTCGGGGATAAAAGGCGTTATGGTATGTTATAGATTAAAATGTAAGATACACTTTTTGCCATTTTTTTGTTTTTCTTTTTATCTACAATCAGCCGATTCAGCTATAATCAGACGAGATATCGTGCCATTGGGACTTTGGAGACTTGCACATCCTGTGACATGTCAACTCCATTTCGTTTTTCCTTCTTAATGAGTTTATATGGATGCCAGTTGCTGGGCTTTTCGCCAATTAAAAGTTCTAATGGCCCTTCCCCTATTATATGGGTTTTAAATTAAAGTCATTTTGGCATAAATAAGGTAAATTCTGTTTGAGGTAAAAAATTCAAAATTGAAGAAACCAATACTACTTTCCTATCCCTAGAACCGAATCTTTGCACTTTGCCTTGTTGCTAAAGTGTAGAAAAAAATCCCCAATATTATAAAAATGTGTCATTGTTGTAGATAATAACGGTATATTGTTAATCTGTTCGTCATTTACATCAAAACAATATAAAAAAGATATAATATAAGGATTTAGATGTACAAATGATAATAAAAACAACCGCATTATGATGCACTCGTCGCACGATCATTTTATTATACACAAACAAATGTTTGACGTCGTAAGATATGGAACATGTAGTTTTGGAAACATACCGGAAGGCTACGCGTTCAAGTCACGCTTAAGTGTAGTCCTGTCAGTACAAATTCTTTGTCAAATGACAGCTAGATGGCACGATATTTAAGTATAATAAAAAAATGAGTTCAGTATTCGGGGGTTAAATACTGACTCAGGAATTGATCCTGGTATTTAAAGATCTGTCTAGAAAGATTTGACTTGATTCTAGTCTGTCCAATTTCTGTATAAGTAACATGATTACATATATACTGTCTTGCCTCCCTCCCATAAGGATAAACTCGAAGCATTTCATTTTGTTATATTGTTGATCATTTTATTTTATTGTTATTTTTTTTTATTAAAAAACCAACAGCTATAAGGTTTGATTGAATGGAATGTGACATGAAACCAAAACCCAATTACTGGTTTCCACGATTAGTGCAAATTATATTTCATTAAAGTGTAATTTCCTCTACCAAAAACAAAGCTATGAATAATTAATAGGGGCTACTGTATTTTTGCTCACAAGATGGCGTTAACGTCGACCTCTTATATTTCGTCCAATAGAGTATTAGCTAGTGTCACACCATTGGATGCTCAATATTTGACAGCTACAGCGATTGGATAAACAGACTTCTTGGTGGACGTGAGCACTAAAACGGTAGTCCCCATTATCATAAATGCTTTGACTTTGATTTTATATCAAACCTTATTACTTCCAGGCTTTACATTCCAACTGCCTAACTCTGGCTGACGGCTCAGTAGTCAACCAATCAGTGCCAGTAGTTCTACCAGTCGACACTGAAGCCAAGGACCGTCTGACTGGAGCCAATGCCATCGCCCTCACTTACAATGGCAAGGCCGTGGCCGTACTCCGGTCTCCTGAGTTCTACCCACACAGGAAAGAGGAGAGATGCTCCCGACAGTTCGGTATTTATCATACTGAACACCCTTATATCAAGGTATGTAAGATTTAGTTTTCAATGTCTCACTTATCTGTTTGAAATAAGTATTTTAGTTTTTTTTTTACTTCAAGTTCAGTGTTTTGCTTTATGGAATCCAACAGGATGAAGTTTTTCATTTTCTGTCAATGGATGCCGGAATAGAACATGTTACAATTTAAACTGTAAAACACCGCGAGGACACCGGTGACCGCAACCTATTGTTCTTTAATTGTGTCTATAATGACGGTACTCAACGAGTTAATGTACAGTTTTATGCATGTTTTATACGCGCGACATATGCGCATTTTGCGCAAAATATAAAGAGTGTTTGCGCAAACTCATTCAATGTGCAAGGAAATTTTATTCATTTTATTCTTTTTTATCATCAGATGATCAAGGAAGCCGGAGATTGGTTGGTGGGCGGTAACCTGGAGGTTTTTGAGCGTATTCGCTGGGACGATGGTCTGGACTCCTACCGGCTAACGCCTAACGAACTGAGACAGAAGTTCAAGGAACTTGAAGCGGATGCTGTATTCGCTTTCCAGGTATGTACTGTAATTTTTTACTTATGCCTAATTATTACACCCAAAGGGAGTTAGACGCCATATCCAAAATGACCAATATCTCTTTAGATTTTTGATGTCTTCCAGCTTCTAAATCTCATCGAATCCACTTAGGTTTTTCAGTTATTCATAAATGTTTTTCAATATTCGTAGCAAAAACTACCTATAATTTAATATCGTCCAAATATGTTATTAGACTTAAGGCCATTAATATGACCACTATTGAACAATAATGTTTATTAAGAACATATGTTATCTTAACTCCAGCTACGTAACCCCATCCACAACGGCCACGCGCTACTGATGCAAGACACGCAGCGTCAGCTAGTGGAGCGCGGCTTCCAGAAACCTGTGCTGCTATTGCATCCTCTAGGTAAGTGTGTATAGAGTTCATTATTGCTTGAAAGTTAAAAATATTTTTTAATTGGGTTGGTTGGTAATCTTGAACTATTTCAATATAGATAAGTAAGCTATTTAGTTAGTTGTTTAGGAAAACCTCCTTTTCTTAAGTCGTTTAAAAGTACCAAAAGTGAGTAAGTCCCTATTGTCTGTGTAACTGTGGCCTTAGTATGAATTTCTTTTACCTTTAAAGTAAACGTAACGAGTACGCGTTCGGCGTTGTGATTGGCCGGCTCCAATGAACAAACCAATTAGAGCACAGAACGCCGTCTCGAACTCGCTCGTCTCGTTTAAACGAAAAAGAAACTCGTACTAAGCCCTCTGAATGCGTTTTCTTAAATACCTAGTTAATTTGACTTGACCGTTATTCGAAGCTTATTTAATTGAGATAGGCCTTCTGCTTCCCTCCTTCCGCTTTTTCTATATGTCTATCTCTTTCTACTACGTCACTTCCACTTGGCAGTGGTGGGGAGTCTTGCTAAGCGAGACTCGCCATTTTTATTTCATTGAGTCTCATTACCAGGCAGAGCTTGACTATAAGCTTCGAATAAGGTAAGTAAATTAATATGCGTTTTATTGGTAGGTAAAACGCTTCCATTAATTTGACTTGACCGTTATTCGAAGCTTATTTAATTGAGACGTGTTTGTTATCGCCTGGTGGAAGTGACAGACGCCAATGTGAGGTAGTATGACTGCGTTGACCGCATTCGTACTACCTGGTATGATGTGGTAAAATCACAGAATAGAAAAACTAAGTAAAAACATATACATGTTTTGATGAAAGGCATTGAATAGAAAACCTGTTATTTTTAATTTTTCAATAATAATTGTATTTGATCTGAACAAAAACAGATGTTATATATTTCTGAGGTATTTTATTACCTCGTTTCTAATTTTCTGATTGACTGGATTGAATAAAAAGGTGACATACAAAGGCACACACATCTTAGGATCGCCTCAAAAGGATAACTATCCACTCAAATTTTTCAAGTCACAGCTGATCTGAAACCCTCAGGATGTCTTGGGGGATTACTGATACCTTAATATCGGTTACCACCAAAAAGGGACTTGATCCTGACCGCAATTACAGTTTTCTATGCCGGTTTAATTTTACGTCTAATAAAACAAAACTATAACAATTTGCATTATTTCCAAAATTGACACAACATTACAGCTTACGCTATTAAGTTATGCCTCTTATGGTATGCTTAGTCCATTGGACTGGATCTAAGCTTTAGAAATATGGTATACAGGCAGGGTATAGTCCGACTGAGGTGATAGGATGCTTTTTATCCCGATTAAATGCTCCCTTGGTAGAAACACACGGGCAAAGTCGGGGGTGAAAGCTAGTTTATTATTATCCATTCTATCAACAGAATCACTATTTGATCTAAAAACCGACCGAAAAACTAGTACGTCATTGTGATTACGGTAATTATTACAATCAATATCGAGCAAAGCTAAGTCATGGAATCTTCTCCTGGAGTATACCTCTAGGAGAAATAGAACAGCTGTTTGTCTCTACACTTGAAAGATTATTAATACGTTTACTGTGTAAGAATCTAGCTAGATCCTTTATGACCCAAACAGGGGGATTGACATGGTCAATCACCGTTTACAACATGTTTTACATACTTACATTTGAGATTAATTGACTAACTGATGTGTTATTTCATAAGTTAGATTAATGTGACTGATTGTATAGTTTTTAGCAATAAATGCTAAAGGACATATGGTTCTGGTTAACAAAGGACAGTAACCACAGATTTTGATTGTACAAAATTTAATTGTACGACAAATTATTGATTCAATAGAGATCAGATATAGATAAAAATGTAGTCAAAAACTTTGCTATAGGAGCGGAGGGGTTCCCCCCCCCCTCCGGTGCGGTGCAACCTTTTGAGGACTGCACTATAGATTTAACGTATTGACGGACGCCATGACTTCTTAAGAGATTTTAGTTGTGTAGAGTATCATTTTAATAGTATTCCAGACGGCCCGCGTTTCCACTCTTCCAAGGTCATGTCGTAGACGCTCGGTGGTGGCCGCCTTGTTCTTAATTAGGACTTTGTCTATGTGATAAAGCGTAAAGAAACGGGGTACTACCTACGGCAAGCGAGACACGCCAAAAACTCGCTCTCATTTAGGAACTACTAGTAGGTACGTTCTCTGTGCCTGATTGAGATAATCCAGGACCTAAGAAATCAAAAAAGCTGGAAAGAACACCCCCGCTGGGTTTTACAACGTTGCCATATGTGGGAAAATGCGTCACAAAACAGGGCTTGTCCGTAGTTTTGATATAAGGGCACGTAATTGTCATTACATGTACTCGGTATGACGCAAATAAGTTGATCAGTGGAACTCCGCATATGAAGACCGTTTTGTTCGTGCATTCTGCAGACAGATGCTCTCTAAAGTTTCACAAAACCTCAACAGATGATCTTCCTGGGCATTAAATATCTGGTACATGAAATACGTGTATGTTAACGCATATGAACGTATAATGGGAAACT